CCATTACCATAACCACCCGCCCATCAGCAAAGCACTTCATCCAATCCAATCCCATCCCATCCCATCCCCAAACCACAACACCCCACCCCAACCCAACCCGCCCATCACCAAACCACTTCAAGCCCACCCACCCCATCCCATCACCAAACCACCCGACCCCACCCCATCCTGTCCAATCACCAAACCATCCCATCACCAAAACACCACATCCGTTCCCATCACCAAACCAAACAACCCCACCCCATCCCATCCCATCGCCAAACCATTCCATCGCATCCCATCACCAAAACACCACATCTGTTCTCATCACCAAACCACACCACCCCATTACCATACCACCCCCGCCCATCACCAAAGCACATCATCCAATCCAATCCTATCACCAAACCACAAACCCTACCCCACCCCAACCCAACCCAACCCAACCATCACCAAACCAAGCCCACCCCACCCCACCCCCTCCGATCACCAAACCACCCAACCCCACCCCATCCCATCCGATCACCAAACCATCCCATCACCAAAACACCACATCCGTTTCCCATCACCAAACCACCCAACCCCCATCCCATCCCATTGTCAAACCATCCCATCGCATCCCATCACCAAAACACCACATCCCATCTCATGCCATTGCCAAACCACCCCGATTCTGTTATTGAACTTGTGTTGCAAACAAATGCAGACTTGGCATTATTTTGTGTATTGAATAATATAAACATTACCTACCTCCAGGTCCAAAGTTATCCATTACAGTTTCAGTAAGACCAAGTAAATATAGTGCAGACGAGAAAACATTGGCAAAATAGAACATAATACCAATACTGCCACCAAATTCAGGACCAAGAGCACGACTAATCATAACTATATACAAGTCAAGATAAATAATACTAGTATGTACATTGCATTAGACCCTTACATCTTTTAATACTGAAGAATCATGACTATCGTTTACTGAAAAGGTGAAGGTGGTTTCATAACAATAAGGCCATTGTTATTTTACTCACTACCTTAGGGGGTATGATGCATCAGCTCATAACTGAACATATTTACAGGATGACATCATACCGACGAAAACAAGTCAATCGCAATGTGTGTATTCAGTTTAGTCACACATTCTGAATTTTATATGTGCATAAAAGTGGGATTTAATTACCTGAACAGTCAATGACATGCTGCAATTGACTTCCATACTGTGTTCATTTATTCTAATTTAATCATTTATAATTGAATCAATGACATATTTCAACTCAAACCCCCATATAGTGCTTGCATAGAGCAGTTTGTTTCTGCCAAAGGATACAGTAAGCTCCACCTCCCTCAATAGCACCATTTGTTGAAATAGCACAAACAGCCAGAACTGTCATTCCTACGATGAAATACGCCAAAAGATACATTAACACAGCACCTAAGAGTCCAGCATTACCAACAACAAAACCTGCAACAAATGATGTAAATTTCATGATTATCAATGATATTATCAATGGTATGAATATGTTGATATGGAGATGGTGTGGACATGCTAATATGGAGATGGTGTGGACATGCTAATATGGAGATGGTGTGGACATGCTAATATGGAGATGGTGTGGACATGCTAATATGGAGATGGTGTGGACATGCTAATATGGAAATGGTGTGGACATGCTAATATGGAGATGGTGTGGACATGCTAATATGGAGATGGTGTGGACATGCTAATATGGAGATGGTGTGGACACGCTAATATGGAGATGGTGTGGACATGCTAATATGGAGATGGTGTGGACATGCTAATATGGAGATGGTGTGGACATGCTAATATGGAGATGGTGTGAACACGCTAATATGGAGATGGTGTGGACATGCTAATATGGAGATGGTGTGGACATGCTAATATGGAGATGGTGTGGAGATGCTAATATGGAGATGGTGTGAACACGCTAATATGGAGATGGTGTGGACATGCTCATATGGAGATGGTGTGGACATGCTCATATGGAGATGGTGTGGACATGCTAATATGGAGATGGTGTGGACATGCTAATATGGAGATGGTGTGAACACGCTAATATGGAGATGGTGTAGACATGCTAATATGGAGATGGTGTGGACATGCTAATATGGAGATGGTGTGGACATGCTAATATGGAGATGGTGTGGACATGCTAATATGGAGATGGTGTGGACATGCTAATATGGAGATGGTGTGGACATGCTAATATGGAGATGGTGTGAACATGCTAATATGGAGATGGTGTGGACATGCTAATATGGAGATGGTGTGGACATGCTAATATGGAGATGGTGTGGACATGCTAATACAGTGGCCCCTCGCTAAGTCGCGCCTCGGTAAGTCGCGATTCGGCTAAGTCGCGGGTACTTGGATGGCTCCCAAAATTTCTATTGTGTTTTGACAGCAATTTTGAAGTACAAAGACTAATGTTTCGTGGCATAGTGTTTTTAACTAACCGTTAAAGAGACAACTTAACACCTACTGTCCGTCAATTGCTGAGACGCAATGGGTGACGGCGGCCTTACTCAAGGTGTCAACAGGGG